CTGTAAAACAAGCAAAAGCAACATAACCACCAAAAAGCACTGACCTGCTGCAGAATGACCATGGTTCAGTTGTGGGTTTATCTGAGGACATCAGAAGTCACCGTGTGAAGGAGACCTACAAAGACAAACAGTGACAGATATCAAATAAAAGAGAGAAGAAATATAAAGAAATGCTGCAATCATGCAAACATTACTGCCCTGCCTGGACTCATATAAATGGTAAGCAAAAGAACGCCACATATCCCATTGTTATACTTTAGTGAGAATTTCAAGTCGTAGGGAAACTGCCGTTCCAACCGGTTCTTCTTAAATATCCCGAGTGGTGCACGACTTTACACCAGTGAATAAAGAGAATGTGATTGGTCGTTTATCAAGGGGGCGGGATTGTTGTGGCCAAAGGTTCACAACCAAGTTTGGGTATGGCCGATTTGTCAGAAGCATCTTGTTAACCAGTTAGCAACTTAGTGCTAGTAGGTTCCCAAAGGGAAATAACATCAGGACCAAGTAGCACTAAATTGGTGACTAGTTTAATGCATTCCTGAGTCATTATTATTCATCCTCCACCATAAAACTGAATGAAACTTCACTGTTTTGATTGCAGTTCACATCTCTGCGTCAGGGTTTATTCACATTTTGTAAGGACTCCTGTTTTGTGTCTGTGTTTTCTGTGTTTTTCTCCCTTCCTCCACCAGGAGGCGCCTGGTTCCGGTCCGCCTCCTCACACACCTGCTGATGGTTACTTCGTTAACGGAGTGTTCTTAAGCTGCTGACTGCCACTACTTCAACGCCAGAGTGTTTGCCAGTTTAGGGTACTCTAGCCAAGCTGAGTTTTTGTCAACCTGAGTTTAACTTTGTTTTGTCTTTGCCTCTTGGCAGGAAGTTGTCCTGCTAGCTGGATCTCTCGGACCTTCACTCCCTGGAAGGATCAACTGAGCTTCAAACTGAGCTGGGGTTCAAACAGGAAGTTTGGATCCACTTTCCCCAAGAGATCGTTTGAGCTTTCACTGAGAAAGGGATTATTCTCCACAACGACTCGTTCAAGTCCCGCAGGAAATCTGAGTGGTGGTCAGTATCTCCGTTCTCCAACAATCA